ACCATCCATCGCTTATCCGTAACAATTGTGTTATTAAGCTGCCTATAGTTTCCTTAAATGCCTAAAGCTATTTCTGCTAACCTCTGACTCACCAAGAACTCTGGAACATAGTTCAACACAAAAAAGAACCTTTAGGGGTCGTAGATTTCTATATAGAGATGTTCACAACAGCCTACTTTAGAACAGCAAAGATAAAAGGGGGCCAGATTTTCAGTAATTTCTGATAATAACTATTTGCATGAATAGGGGAATGCTTAAATTAGGAGATGTCTCTAGTACTGAATATAAGTAGTCATTAAAAATCAAGGATTTTTAAAATTTTGTTTTATTTTGCAAGGCTAACACTCTACCACCGAGTCACATTCACAGCCCTAAAAGTATTTCAAAAACAAACAAAAATATAACAGAAAAGAACTTTACAGTATTTATAAATAAGATTTCACATTAATGTATATGTGCATGTATAAATTTATTTTGGCATTTATATATGAAGATAGAAATTCAAAAGAATACATCAAAATGTTAACAGATTGGTTAAATAAGGATTACTTCTTTGAGCTTACATTTATTTTCCACACTGAGCTGAAAAGTTATTTGTATTTAAAACAAAACACATTGATGGCATACTACCTTGCCATCATTGTTATCCTTTATTGTTATTAGAAAGTCCATTTTTTTCCTAAACCAACCTTATAAACCAAATACTTTGAATTCTTAATCTTTTCACTGAGTGTTAAAAGACCTCACCCTTTCTGCTCTTCCTCTTACTCTGATCCTCATGTTCATGTGTGGGTTACTCATCCATTCTCTAAACACTTTTCCAGCCTTGCTTGGCTCATCCCACTACCACCTGAGCCTCCCTCTCCATAGCATGTGCCCTCTCCTTCTGCCACTTATTTTTGCCCAAGGACTCCCTGAAGTTTCCATTACTTTTCATTGGCCAAATCTAAGGATTTCTTATTTGTTGCATTAATCATTCCATCGTCTTTGATACACTCTTGAGGAGAGGCAAGTGATTTTGTGGTTTTCCTTTTATTTCTCTAACCATTTTTTAAATATTTTACATCATCTTGCTTCCTGTTAAGTGTTACAACCAAGCTTTTCTTCTTCCGTATCTCCTAACTATGCCTACATGCCATTATTACACATTTCCTCATCCCCACCATTTACCTTTCCACGTAGGGGTGTTAATAGGCTGTACATAAAAGAATTAACAGGACCTGTGAGCATATGAGCTGCCTATATCAGCTCAGTTTTAACTGTGGGCTTTAGTTCTCGGGCTTCTTTCTGGCTCTAGTATATCAATAAAACCTTCCCTGAAGCTCTGTTCTTATACATAACCTCTTGCCAGCCTCCATATTTTCCAGGTAGAGGTTGTGAGACATCTGGTTTTCAGGCCAGTGCCACAAAGTTGGACTCTGCTTCTCTGTCCAGTGTCCTGATGTTGAATACGAATTCTGAATTCTCTGTGGCCTCCAGTCTCACTTGCATGAGCACTGTTGAACCATCCTCAAATACATGATTTCTTTGACAAGCAACAAACCCAAAACCCCAAATATCTTGCCCAAATTCTGTGTGGGGGGTTCCTACTGGATTAGGACTTGAATTCAGACTATTCCAATTTAAGCACACTATGCATATGCAAGATGTTGTGTTTCATTCACCGGACTTGGCCTTGGTGACCCAAATCTACAGAACAACATTCCTAGTATAACTGATGTTGGTGGTGGTTTATTTATTTTGTTTTGTCTTTTTGAGACAGGGACTCTCTATGCAGGTCAGGCTGACCTTGAGCTCACTTCGTAGCCCAGGCTGGTTTCCAACTCATACCAGTCCTCCTGCCTCAGCCTCCCAAGTGCTGTGATTACAGGCATGCACTACCATGCCTCGCTGGTCTTGGTTCTTGATCTAGCTCATTTACCCTCATGATTTTATATTTCTATAACTCTGACCTTTTTCATCTTTTTTAGATCTGTGATTTACATTATCGGTAGTCTCTTGAACTTTGCTGTTAGAGAAATTTATTTATTGTTTTGAAAGTTCATCTAGCAGGTACATACTGAGCATCCACTGGTTGGTGCTGCAGATGATCAGAGACTAGTCAGAGAGTAGACAAAATAAAAGTCTGTATCACTTAGTATGCTTTTTATTCACAGTAACAGAAATCCAGATTCAAACTGGCTTCAGCAAAGATGGGATTTATTCCATCATATACCTGGCAAGTCTAGAGAGAAATCTGATTTCCTTCAGGTCAAACTGGATTCATGGATCCTAAATGCTGCCTTTGGGATCTACCCTGTCTGTGTCTCTCAGCTCTGCTGTGCTTTTTGAGTGCCTCATTCTTTAGCTCTCTAGCAAGGGATACAGTGGTTCCCCTGAGAAAAAAAATGAACAGATGTGAGGTGTTTAAAAAGAAGAAAAAGTGGCTATAATTACAACCATCTGGCAAATGAGATGTTAACTGTGCCAGGTCCACATCCTCCTGCATTGCAGAACAGTAGAAAAAGCACTGCTCTCTCAGCAGCCCCAACAAATGTCCCACAAAGTCCTGTGGTTTCTGACTGGGTTGTATAATATTCCCTGAATGAGTGACTTTCATCAGGGAAATTTGATGCTGTGATTGATCAAACTGGAGTCATATGTCTTCTCCTTGTATTTGATGTGGAGTCAGCTCTAGTCAAACACTTAAATTGAGACTGAGGGATATATAATTGTTCCTCTGAGGAAAAGGTGAACAGATGTGAGATGGTTTTACAAAAAGAAGCAGCACTAGCTTTAGTTACAGTCATGATGGCACCCAGCTCTGGAGGTGTTTGTGAGTATAAATGGTAGCGTACAACTGTTCAAGTCTGTCTAGAGCAACTTTTGGCTCTACATAGAGCAGACGAGAAAAATTCACACTTCTTTCACTCCCTTGCTCCTTACTTTACATACTTTTTTCTTTCAACTTACTTTATTCCGGAGTATAGATCGTCTTAGAAATGGATCTCACTAGAGGGACCTTATAAAGTAGCGAGGGAGAAGGATGGTCAGGGAGATACTCCTGCCTTCTCAATGAGAATTTATAGTTTCAGAAACGAAAATATGAAGAATATGTCTGTTTTTTAGAAAACTAAAAAGACAGCTCCATATTGTTTAATATCATTTTTTATCCAGACTGTTTCAATGATTATTATTAAATGTTTGGTTAGTCTTTCTAGTATGCTTCTTCAAATAATGAAAATTCCGTAATCCACATTTAAAAAAATTTTTTTTGCTAAGCTATTACAATTCAAAGTTAAAACCTGTGCTTAATTAAATGTTGTTTTCTATGAGATTAGCTTGCTTTTGTTTATTAAAAAATAATTTTACAGTGTTGGTTATTTTTATTTTTTTATTTGTTTGTTTGTGAGACAGAACCTTGCCAAGTAGCTCAGGCTGGTTTTGTTCTCACTATGTACCTAGCTCCGTTTTCCTTGTTGAACTTGTGGAAGTCCTCCTGCCTCAGCCTCCTAAGTGCTGGGATTACAGGTATGAACTACCATGGCCAGCTCTAATTCTTGATTTATGATTTTATTGTACCTGATACTTTTGTAGTAAGGTACTCAAATTACCTACACCAGTATATAACAAGCAAAATACTTCAATTTCTACTTTTACCTGAGCAGTCTTTACCTTTGTATCGGTGGTGGGTTGTTAATTCATCTCTCACCAATACCCAGTCATACAGACACCTCTATCAGTGTATGTACAGCTTGCATGTAAAGGGTCAGCCAGATGTTGAAATGAATGCATGTGGATATGTACATTTTTTGAAAGGCAGCAGATGTGAAAATAGCTTGACATTCAAAATCTGGGCAATAGGTAGTCATGGTTTATGTCAGTGGCCCCCAGGCCTCATATGTTTGCGTTATGTATTTGTGATTGATTCATTGTACAGTGCTTGGATTGATGGTGTCAAGTGCTACACCCACATAGGGGTGGAGCCAGTATGTGATGTAATGGCAGGAAGAAGGCATGTCTTGCTTTTGCTGGTTTCTGCCTTGCCATTTGCAGCCACCATTAACTGCGGCCCCAACGTGTCACCATGCCTTGGAGCCAAATGATATGTACTGAAACTTCCAAAATCTGTAAGAAATAAACTTTTTGGGGTTGGGGATTTAGCTCAGCGGCATAAGCACCTGCCTTGCAAGCAGGCGGTCGTGAGTTCGATCCCTGGTACCGATAAAAATGAAAAAGTAAAAAAAAAAAGAAATAAACTTTCCCTTCCCAACTTGGTGCATCAGGTATTTTGTCTCAGCAATGAGTAAAAAGTAACACATAGGTTTTACATTGCTTTTGCTGCAACTTTTGTTCTGTACCACTGAAAGGAAGATTGAGAGCTAATGATGTTGCTCATTGGTAGAGCACTGGCCTAGCATGCACAAGGACCTGCGTTCACTCTCCAGCACTGACAGCAACAGAAATAGAATAATCCAAGTATTAGGAAATGCATTAATATCATAGTTGTGAATCAGAGATATTTGGCAGTGCTTGGAGTCCTGATTGCTTTAACTGCTAAAATTTAATAGACAAAGGTCAGGGATGCTAAACATTGTATGATTCATAGGACAGGCCCCACAACAACAGCAAAACACATTATCAAATCCAAAGCTTCAATAACACCTTGTATAAAAAATATATTTTGAATGATAAGCCCTGGAAAATTCAGAGCAACTTTTTAATTTGGGCTTGAAACAAAGCTAGAGGCAAGTTAAAATCATGGAAACACAGACTCCTGAAGCTGCAGAAGTCGATTAATCCAATCTCCCCTTATTTTAGATAGGATAACTAAAGTCACATAGGGACAAAGCAACCTTAAGCAGTATAACTTCTTCACATAAACACATGATCAGACAACTTGTTTGATGTCTCTGTGCCTCAGTTTCCTTATCTGAAAGGAGTAATAATGAAACTTGCCTCAAGTGATTGATGTGAAGATTAATTAAAATAGAATACATATAAAATATTTAGCATCGTACCTGGACATAGTGAGGTGTTAATAACCAGTGATGGGAGGACTGAGGTGGTGATTGTCGTTACTGCTCTTGTCCAAAGTCACCCGAGCTGGTTTGCCGCTTGTTCAGTTCCATTGCCCTGACTCAGCTCCATGTTCCTTCTTTCACACTGCCTTGGTTGTCTACTAAGAAAGGTTACAGTGACATCTTAATGGAAATTAAAGAAGACCAGGCTGGAGAGCAGCTCAAGGGCTGGCAATTCAAGAGAATGTCTGAATGGAAGTTCTCTGTGAAAGACAGAAAAACGGTTTAGATTGTAGGTAGAGAGCTTCAGGAGGACAAAAAAAAAGATGCTACCTAAAACACATTAGTCTTTCTTAAACTTTGTGAATGATAATACAGGCAGTCATGCCTCCAGAAAGGAGAGCCTGGAACAAATGAGTTACCAAACCTTTACACTCTTGACCATGTTCATGTGGAGATAGATGGGTCTCTGTCAGAGAGAGGTTGATTAAAAAGTATATGTGGAGACCCTTCCCACTCTTAAGATTCTGTAATGTCGGATAAGTTATGCGGAGTGTGAGCCAGAAAAATCATGTGACATTGTAGGTCATGCCCGGTAGGCACATGTAGACAATCATGCACATCTTTTGTGGTTTGTGAAATAAAATGCTTTGTTAGGTTTTACTACTTCAGTCAACATGAACTTGTGATTAAGATACTATATAAAATGCTTTCTCCTCCGAAAACAGTAATAAATTATCTTTCCAACAAGCCTATGAAATATGCTTCCTCTTGTTTTCTGCAAAGATTTATAAAATTTCTTTGCAGTTGCTCTGTAAGTTTTATTTCTCTTATAAAGTTAGTCACAAATTGTTTTAACTAGTGGCTTTCTATAAAAATTATCAGAATTAAAACACTTGTGTCACACACATTCATTAACTCCTGTTGAGGGGGAATCTCATTCCTATGATAACCTCCTCTTAAATATCCCATTTGTTATAATGACCTCCCAAATGATTTTGTATTCCATAAAAATAGCCTACATGACAGTCACTTAAAGACATCTTCTCTTACATCAAGAACAAGCTAGTATAGGAAAGGAAACCGAATGATCTTTAGTTGATCATATATTTTCTGTATATTCACATGACATTCAAGATCTACAGAGTAGTCAGAGAAGAGCAAGACGTGTCCATCCAGTGAGTGCTGAATGAGCACCAGGCACTCCTGTGCTGGAAGTCAGACATTACACACCTTGCCCCCCATCACAGAGCTGTGAGCAGAAGACCCAAGGCAGCACATCTTCACATACCTCCTAAGCGCAAGGCTTCAACATGCTGATTTTGATATGCTGGTTCTTGACAGGGCAAGAATAGACTCAGAAATCTCCTCTACAGTCAGACTATTCCTAAAGAAAAATACCTCGTTTAGATTTTTCTTCTGTATTAATTTTACCTTTAATTTTTTTTAAGGTATTGTGTAATGGACCGGGAACATGCGTTCCTATCTGTGTATCTGCCCTTCTCCTTGGAATACTAGGAATAAAGAAAGTGATCATAGTCTACGTTGAAAGCATCTGCCGAGTAGAAACTCTGTCCCTCTCTGGAAAGATTCTGATTCATCTCTCGGATTACTTCATTGTTCAATGGCCGACTCTTAAGGAGAAGTATCCCAAATCTGTGTACCTTGGACGAATTGTTTGACAAATGGAAAGTTGTATCTTTAGAATTGCAGTTGATGATATTTACCATGACCTGTTTATTGTAAAGGCTTTTGAAAGTCTTGAGAATTGTTGATGGTCAGAAGTTTCAAAAATGTGCAAATGACTCAGTGAAGAAACTGAACTTTCTCTTACATGGGACTCATCAAATTTTTATACTCCAAATTTCTTTTCTAGATAAAAGTGTATATCACCACCTGCAAGCTTTTTACTATTTCAGTATTTTTTAAACCTAAATATAGTTTGTGTGATTAGTAACATTTCCTATTAAAAAAAAAAACTCCATTGTAAAAAGAAACAGCAACAACAAAAAGATATTTCTTAGTTTTTGTTCAGCTACAACAGGCTTTATTTCCTGTATGGAAGCAGTGATGTCCCCAGTGAATTACTTCAGCATAAAGGAAATAGTTATATTACATTGGCTTCATGACAATTTGCTTCTAGTGGCTTCCAGAACCTGGAGCATAAACAGTGTCTTTTCATTCTTCAGTCTTGCTTTTTGAGTAGCTTGCTTCAATCTATAATATATTCTTAAATTTCTACATTGTTAAAATGTGACAACTGTCAAGAAAATAAAACTGTTACTATCAGGAATCTAAACTCTTAAACCATTAAAAATTTGCTTCAATAAATTCACAATGTCATGGCTATCATTGTCTCTGGCATTTTGAAATGCTTAGACCTGCTACAACATATGTTTACTGAACATTTATATAAGGCATGCTATATGCCAAGTGTTCTTTTTTAAATATTGTCTTATTTAATCCTAATAGGAACTTCATGAGGTAGGGGTTATTACTATCCACACTTTACAGATGACTTGTCTAAGACCACCTACCTTGTAAGTGGTAAAGCCAGGGTTTGAGAGTGGAGTGAATTTCACTGGTACATGGCCTGTGTAGTGCCATAGGGTTCTACAATTAGGAGGGCCATGTCTCCTCGATTAATACTCTGTTCTCACTCTCTTGAATTTCTTAGTAATGTTTAGTTGTTTACTTTTTATTCTTTTGTGGTTATTGTTATTGTCACTTTGCAGTACTGGAAATTGAACCCAGAGTCTAGCATATGCTAAGAAAGTATTCTAATATTGAGCTACATCCCCAGTTCTTTTTGTAATTGTTAAACAAGGGACTCACACTTTAGACCCTAGTGTTGTAGCTGATCCTGCTTGAGACTATACCTTGTGATGCCATATCTGTCCTAATGGAATCTCCTCAGTAACCGAGGATTCTTGTCCTTTCCCTGTAAACTCTACTCCTTTAACCAACCAATAAAAAATGAAAACTTCACTTGAGAGAGAGAGAGAGAGAGATCTCAGATTCTGTATGTATATATATTAGAGTTATACATTTCTCATGTTGGAGATTGAACCCAGAGCCTCATGTGTGCTAGGCAAGTACTTAGCAGTGAGATGTCTCTTCAACCCTTACATATATGCTTTTCCTCTTAAATAATTTGGTTAAAAATATAAATCTAGTAAAGAAATTGTGAGATTGAAGTGTATTTAAAAGAGATGGGGTCACCCAAGGTAATGCAAAATTAAAATGCTAAGATTGACCTAGGCTTCTTATTCTTTGAGATAAACAACTTCAAGTAATATAGGCACATCAGTCATCAGGACATTTTCTTGGGTTTTGGCTGGAGAAAACCAAGTGGCAGAAGATATCTCAGCATGGTAAGGACATCTTGCTTTCTGGACTCAGTAGCCATCGGACAGACAAGTGGTGACTCATTGTGCTTTGACTTTAGATCCTCAAATCTCAGTTACTGTTTCTGTTTCTTCTCAGCTATAGACCTGGAATATCAGGCAGTGGAATATCAGTGAGGGGCTGAGACAAGATAAGTATTTGTTTTTCTTGAAAGAAAGTGATTTTTTTAATTAAAAGCAGTATGTGCTTTTTGATTCCCATTTGAATTTTTCTCTGCTCTGTACTGTGTTCCTGAGTGGCCCTGGATGGATGATTGGAGAGAAAGTGCATTTTAGTTCAGTTAATGCCTACCAGTGCTGTGGGGCAGCTTTCCCAGCCTTACAGCTAATCCTCATGCAGAGGCTTCTTTAAGGCCACAGCATACAGTGCTCACACCAGGGAGAGTTATGCAAAAGTTGCCGTAATTTTTTCCAGAAACATATGCATGCCCTGGATACTTTGCAGAGCCTTTTGTTAGACAATGTCTAGCCTAGAATGTCAGGGAAAGAAACTATGTGTATTAATTATATCACTAAAAGTTTTAAAATATTTTTGCCAGGTTCAGACTGCTGTGTACACATTGAGAGCTTGACTGAGACACATCTTATCACATTGTCCTCCTCAGTTCAGATTCTTTAGTAAACAAGTGCTTGCTCTGCTGTATGTTATTTTGAGGACTAATTTGAGCCCTCAAGGTCATAGTAGCTGAGGGGCTGGTTTGAGATTATAGTAGGGAACATAGTTTCCCTGCTACGCATGTCTGTGCCATTCAGGAAGAGAGTGCTCTAGTCTCAACTTGAGCTGAAAATCAGTAGCTAGCTTGTCTTTTTGAATTTATCTTAAAACACTTTGGAATGCAACTTTTACTGTAAGAAACCATTTATGAAAAAATCAACTGAATCAGCCTTCATATGAGAGGCAGGGAAACCGCACATCCTGCCCACACCTACTTCCCTGGAAGATTTTTATCTACAGTTCAGCTGTCTGAAAGGTCTCCGCAGTTTGCCAGGTCAGAAGGTCCAGCTATTTCAAATAGGATGCCCAGAAGTCATGACAGGAAGTGTTAGCCTGGAACGGAGAGTGCTATGAAACCACGTCAACAAGAGGACTCTTGGACAGTTTTAAAGTGAATAGCAAAAGGTTCTTGCTAAGAAGGTGAGGGAGGAATCAATCTCACCATTTCTATCAACATATTCTAGGGGCTGGGGATTTAGCTCAGCGGCATAAGCCCTGCCTTGCAAGTGTGTGGTCGTGAGTTCGATCCCCAGTACCGATAAAAAAGAAAAAGACAAAAAAAAAAAAAAATTCTATAATCATGTTCTTGTTGCCAACTAACTTTAAACATGAATTTGACATAGTGCCATCTTTTTCCTCAAGTAGTTAACTGTTCTTATCCTGCTAACCTGTTACATCCCCCAAGCAACAGATTTAGGATCATTTTTTTTCTTTGCTTTGCACATTTAACTGGTCACATATATAGAGTCCACCAAAAAAAAAAAAAATATATATATATATATATATACACACATCATGAAAAGAAAAACTTGTATAAATATATTAGTAGTAAATTTATTGAGACATCATGAGATTAACGTAAGTTACCTTTAACCTGTACAATTATAAGAGGTGCTTAAAGTGGTGGTCATTAGCTTCCAGACATTAGTACAACAAACTTCAGAAGTATGTATACATTTTCTGGCTGTTTCTCTGTTTCTGTCTCTATCTCTGTCTCTCTCTCTGTCTCTCTGTCTCTGTCTCTGTCTCTCTCTCTCTCTCTCTCTCTCTCTCTATATATATATATATATATATATATATATATATATTTCTGTGTGTGTCTCCTCTCACTCTTTTTATATGTAATAAAAATACATTATAATCATATGGCTATGTAGGGATATATATTTATATAAAAGTACGTATTTCACTAGAACTTTCCTTTGGCTTTTCTTCCTCTCCTGTCTGCAGTGTTACCTGTACTTTTCCTCTTATCTGAATTTACCTGCTGATTCTGGCACTGACATTGAACTAGTTCCTACTACCTTTTCCCTTTCTGTCTCATGATCACAATTTAGCCAGCCAAACTTAAATACCTTGTTTAATTAGCAGTCTTGTTAAGGAACTGAGACATAGAGAGACTAAGTAACATATTAAAGATTATATAATATGAAAGTAGCGGAGCTGGGATTTGAACCACAGTACTGTAGTTCTAGCCAGACTTACTTTAAGTTTAAAATAAAGTACTAGAAAGGGTTACGTAGGGTACTATTATGGAGAGTGTAAAGTTTGCTGGGTACTTTGGATAAGGCTATCAGAAAAGGCCTCTAACAGGGGAACACTTTAGCTGAGACCTAAAAGATAATGACTTAACAATTTGTTGTTTATTTGCTGTTTAACTTTCCAATTTAGATTTCACTTCTCACACAAAATCTTCCTTGTTTCCCAAAGTCTCACTTAAACAGCTTCTTGTGTAACATTGCTCCTCATTCCACAGTTTACCACAGTTGTATGCCTCCGTGCTGCAGGGCCACGTATTTAAAAACAGCTGTGGAAGGAAAAGAACAACAATTTTGCTAATTATTTGTAGTTGTCTTACTTCAGAGACAACTTCATAGAGTTTGTTTAGATTTTGTCCAGCCTGCTTTGATTATATTTCATCTAAGCTAATGGTCTCAAACTTTGTGGTCTCAAGACTTAATAACATTTATAAATTATTGAAAATCTCAAGTTTTTGTAGATAGTAGTTGTCAATATGTACCATACTAGAAATTAAAGAATTTTTTAAAACTTTAAAATACAGAGGGACATATTTCATTATCAGTCAGAGCAATAATATCATCATATATAATATAACATCTGGAAAACCACTATGCAATTTTAAGAATAAGAGGGAAGGGGCAAATTATATCTTCATATATCTGTGAAAACAGTTTTAACCTCCTAGGCTCCTGGAAATGGCTCAAGGACCCCCAAGGGGCTCCGGGACCACATTGTGAGAACTGCTGCTCTATATAATGTTGTATCAATGGCTGCATCTCCTGTAATACACTTTATTTTGTTTTTTCGTTTTGTTTTAGAGGGGTTTGGGAGGGTTGTTTTGTTTTGTTTTGTTTTTTGTACCAAGGATCAAACTCACAACCTTCCACTTATAGGCAAGCGCCTGAGCCACTGAACTAAATCCCCTTCTAATACTCTTTAATCAGTCATTGACCTGTGTATTAATTTTATTGCAGTTCAACAAATTTGCCACCAACTTAGTAGCTTATGACAACATACTGTCTCACAGTTCCATAGCTTAGAAATCCAAGAAGGGCAGTTCTCTGCTCAGGGTATCACAAGGTATGGCCAGGACTAAGTTTTACTTTGGAGCTTTGGGTCATCTTTCAAGCTCATTTGAGTGATTGCTGGCAGAAGTTAGTTCTTTGCAGTTGTGGGACTCTTGATGACTTGTTTTTAAAGGCCAGGAGAGTTTCTGCTGCTTGTCCCTCTTAAGGACTCACATGATTGGGTCCAGCACACTCAATATAATCTCCCTTTTGATTAACTCAGAGTCAGCTGATTAGGACCATTATTTCATCTCTTGTTCTATTAGTGAGGAGAGTGATACTCCACATTTACAGGTCCTGCCCCTACTTAGTGACAGGATTATACTAGGTTTGTACACCTTGTCTCTACAGTAGTGGCTTCCTTGGATTGTAAATAGCCTAAAGAAGGGTTTTCTCTCTGACTCTTATTTATTTATTTATTTATTTATTTATTTATTTGTCTGATTCTGAGGATTGACCCAAGGGCTTGATACTGAGCTATATCCACAGCCCTATTAAAACTTTTTACTTTGTGACAGCATCTTACTGTGACATTAAATTGCCCCAGCTGAGCTCAAACTTCTAGTCCTCAACCTTAGCCTCCCAGAGTGCTGGGATTACAGGCATATACAACCACAACTGAGAAGCTTTCCTTAAATGAAGCATAGGACTCTTCTAACCCTCTAGGACAATTATAATCAAAAAAGCAGAAAATGCAAGTTGCCAAAGGTGAAAAGAAGCTTGACTCCCCATACATTGCTGGTAGGATAGAGAATGGTACAGCAGTTATGGAAAACAGTCTGACCATTCTTCAAAACTCAAACATAAAGTTAATGTATGAACCAGCAATTCCAAAACCGATAAGTTTATACCCCCAGAGAATTGAAAAATACATTCACATGCAAGAAATTTATACACAAATATTCGTAGCATTACATATAGTAGCCCAAAAGTGGAAGCAACCCTAATGTCCACCACCTAATAAACAGGTAAACAGAATATTGTTCAATACCAGAAAGGAATGAAGTACTAACACGTTGTACGAGATAGATGAACCTTGAAAGTACTATGCTATATCAAAAAAGCTGGTCACAAAATATTACATATTGAGCTATTTCCTTTATATAAAGTGTCCAGAATTCTGTAGACTAGTGGTAGATTAGATTAGAGAGTAGATTAGTGGTTGAGGCAGTGGAAGAGGGAATGGCGAGTAACTCCTGACAGGAATTGGATTTCTCTTGGGAGAGATAAAAATGGTCTGAAGCCAGGGGTTTAGCTCAGTTGTGCAGTGCCTGCCTGGAAAGCATGAGGTCCTGTGTTCAATTCCCTGTGCCACCCCCCGCTTAGCTGTACCAAAAATGATCTAGAATTAGATAGTAGTAATAGTTATATAACTCTGAGACTATACTAAAAAACCACTGAATTATGTACACTGGATAAATTTTATGATGTGAGAATTATATATTTTAATGAAAACTATCATCAATAGTAACTTATTGATATATGTGTATGTAGATAGACAAAAGCCAACCCAGGAGCCAGGAAGCCTCTATAGGGAGTATTCTTATTTATTGTAGTTCCATCTCTGCTTTCAGCCAGAGACAAAAGAAAACCTAAGAATGTACTCAAGCCAAAGAATGGCTCTTATGGAAGAGGTGAGTAACAAATGAATGAAAATGGCTGGTGAGGGGAGCCCAGGAGGAGGAGAGGAATTCAGTGTGACATAACTCCACTCAGAGGCTTCATGAAAGGGCCTCACGTCAACAAAGACCCTGTACCCCTCTGAGCCAACATGACTGAAGTGAATTGTATTTTTCAATTTTGGCCATACTCCTCTGCAGACATGACTTGGCCACTTCCCCACTCAGACATGGAGGATACTTTTTCTCCCTTCAATTTGAACTGACTTTGCCTGAATCTGAACATGCCAGGCCACTAGAATACTGCCGAGGGACAGTCTGATGTGGTGTCTTGTTCCCTGGAGGGGTGCTCCTCGCAGAACTCAAGAGAGCCCAAGTCACATGGAGAGACCATGTGTCAATGTTATGTTCACAGTTGCATCTTAGTACACAGACTTAGAGTCATCTTAATCCCGGCGCTAACCATATGAGCGAGAAGCCTCCAGATGATTCTAGCACTGGCACTGGAGTCTCCCCTAGCATTTCTAGTCTTCCCAGCTGAAACTCAGACAGTGAAACCAAGACAAGCCCTCCCTTCTATACTCTGTGAATTGCTGAGCCAGAGTCCATCGGCATGATTAAATGGTAGTTGTTTTCCACCACTAAATTTTAGGATAATTTGTTACAAAGCAATAGGTAATTAGAAAAATAGCCTTTCGGATAGAGTCATTTTCCCCAAAGTTTGAGTACTTTGGCTCAATGTTAGAAGAGGAAGCAATTTCTCGCCCCCAAGGCAAAAAAGATGCATTTTTTTACACCATGGGTAGGAAAAGGATTTTTGTTTTCTCCTTGCTTCTTGGCTTGCATGTAACAGTGAAACTGAAACCAATGGATTCTTTTAAATCATTTAACCATATGCAGATGAATAAGCAAATGGTTGGACTTGATTCCTAATCTCTTTTCCTTTCCTGTATAATAAGAGAATTTTTTCCACTCTAATAAACTTGAACATTTAAACAGAAGTCATGTGCTGCATACATGACGATTAGCAGCAAGAATGTAGAAAAGGAGATAGCTACTGAGAACGAAGCCTTAATCACTACCCAGACCTTTCATCTGAAAATAAGAACAATGTTTCTGGCGAGGAAATGTGGAATCTTTTTTCTGTCTTTCTTGGAGCCCCCTTTTCCCCCATTTGGGTCTTTTTAAGATAGTGATTTCAAACTCAGTGACTATAAAGAGAACCTTTAAATTTTTCAGCTTATCTCTGGTGATTGAAATTCAGTCATCTTTCTATGGCATCAGACAGGACCATGGCCCCATGTCAGTTGCTAGCCCTCCGAATATCCAAACTGAGATCAGGGCACAGTCAAAGGGCAAAGAAGCTGAATGGCAGCAGAAGGAATGGGGGAGGCTGGGATAAGTCTTCTTGCTCCTTGAAAAGAAAAGGGGGAGCTTTCATTCTTCAAAGAAAAGGGAAAGAAAGCAAGACTTTTATGGAAATACCATATACAAAATGGACAAAAATTCATCAAGGAGTACAAAGTATCCGGAATGTTCTGTTTTTTAGTTCCAGTCTGGCAGACAAAAAAGATTCCCTGATTTTCCCTGAATTATCTGGACATAAAATCATGCAAGGCATGTAACAAGAGCCCATGTGTTAGTCCACTGACAACCAATTCGAACAAGCGAAGTCTAAAGCAACCAGGTGGAGACAGCCTAAAATGCTTTCATCAGTTTTATAGGAAACTAGGGTACTTATGGATGGAATTGGGAAAGGTCAGTGATTTGATCCCAAATTCATTGCTAGTAATAGGGAGGGATTCACAGATAAAGAGGATCAGCCATGCATGATTGTTGCTGTAGTAGATAGCGTTGGGTACACGGGGAATTATTACTATATACAAATCCACCAAAAACCCTTACTTTTGTATATGCTCTCATGTTCCTATAATTAGAAATTCTTCAAATATGTGTCATATAATAAATCTTCATTCAGATACTAAAAAGCCAAAAAGTATTGGTTATGGAGAAAATGAAACTAGGTTTTAAAATGAGAACAAAATGGACCATTTTAAAATTAGTTTTATTTCCTATTTAACTTAATGGAGAAAAGTCTCAGTCAGTCTGAAAATCTGACTCCTGAATCTCAATAGGTTTTTCTAACTTGAAATCCTCAGGTCTGGGCCTTTGAATTCACTGCCATCAAGTACAGTATGTCATTTTTTGCTTTGTCCACATAAGGATTGTGCTCCTTATTGTTCGGTAAATATTTGAGGTGTTCCAGCATCAACTTGGTATGACCTTTACAGGTGGCTTAAGGACTGTGACTTCCAGTGAAGTCTTTCCTTTCTGCAAGGACACACTCTTTAACATGAGTCATTGTGGTAATTGGTTACCTCTGTGGACCATTAACATTAAAGTTAGGACTGAGCCAGACATGGTAGCACATACTTGTAACCAATCCCAGTGCTCTGGGAGACTGAGGCAGAAAGGATCACAAATTTGAGCCCCACCTAAGCCAATTAAGTGAGACCCTGTCTCAAAATTTAAAAAAATAAAATGGACAGGGAAGTAGCTCAGTGTAGATGCTCTGTGCTCAAGCCCTAATGTCATAAGATAATTCATTTAATTAAATAAATTTGGGCTTATCTCAACCTCTGTTTCTGCCATTGGAGAGATTACATTGTGGAACATGGAAAGCCACCTGGATGGTGAGTGTTTGGGGTTTGGTTACGATCTTTGACACTATGCATATGTTTAATCATGATGAGCTTTTGTTTCCTGGTGTTTTAGGTTCCTCTCCAAATAAGATAAAAGATTTGAATGAGATTATCTTTGAAATCCTTCCTTCTGGGGCAATAAGCTCAGCAGCACAGTGACTGCCTGGCAAGTGCAAGGTCCTGAGTTTGATTCTGGATATCAAAAAATAAAAATAATAATAATCCTTCCAGCTACATTGACTGTTGTCATCACAATGACAGAAATAACCTCCATCACTTTGAGTGCTGGTAACAACCCAGGTGCTGTGCTGAGCGCTGTATGTCAACTCATTTAATCCTCAGATCTAGGCAACCAAGTGCCATCTTAGAGATCCTCATTTACCACTTCCTCCCTGTAGGGGCAGAAGATCATGGCCACACTTTTTTCTAAAGCAAACTTTGGTGCCCAGGAATTCAGCACCCCTGCTTTAGTAACCCTAATCTGCATTCAAGGTTCTCATAGGCCTCTTTCCTTGTAGGATGCAGGTAAGTTGCACCCAGAGTTGAGGGATGGCAGAAATTGCTTGCCCTGGGGAAAGGGTGTGGAAGGAGTTGAGATGTGCAAATTGAAGTACAGAGGTGCTGCACAGAAGATGAAACCAGTTGGAAACACAAGGGGGAGTGGCAGTTCACAGGAGTTCTTTAATATTCTTACCTGGGGTCCTGGCAATAGGGGTGGCCTTTATGAGCTAAATATTATTATCACTTCTTTTGGAAAAATAATGGTGGGAGAAGGCTTCACTGAGCCCATGTGGTGGCACGATCCCCTATTCCCAGTACTGGGGAGGCTTAAGCAGGAGGCTCTCCTGAGCTCAGGAGTGCGAGACCACCTTGAGGAATGAAGCAAAATCCTGTTTCCAAAAAGCAAAGGAAAAAGAGAGGAGGCTGAGTAATTTGCTGAGGGTCGCAGAGCTGGTTAGTGTCAGAACCAGAGCTTAGACTCCGTTCATTTGATTCTGTGTTCTTCCCTTTCATGCTGCTGCACAGCGAAATCCATAGAATCCCTAGGTACCCAAGGCTTGCTCGAGACAGAGAGAAGGTTCTATCAGTTAGTTGCTTTTCTACTCAGCACTACCTTGGTAGTGCCAACTGAGAATGTAGCATACACCAGTGGTGGCAAGGCCTCATCCAGAAAGAAATTACCATGGGAAGCTGATTCAACAGAAAACTATTTGATACAAGTATGACAGTTAATCCTAGGATTTCACTTTTTGTTCTGAACTTCTGACCTACAGCTGCACAAGTCCAACCACAGAGTATCAAGAAGGTAATTTAACTAGATTTTAACCTTGTTGAACAAGTGGTTAGCCAATCAAATCAGTAGGCCTTTGTTTATTTCCTTTAAACTCTAAAACCAGGAAATTACTTCTGATACATTAAGACCCCCACCTTCCCTCCAAGGACATCCTGAGGCATAGAAATAAAATCTAGCCAAACATAATTTCAATTACTACTCATAATGAACATTCAACAAATATAGGTAATGTGAAAAAACAAATTTCTGGAAAAAGCTATAAAAATATGACATTTTTAGAAGGCATAATTTGATGTACTTAATACCAGGGTAGTCAATTTAGTTATGTTTTGAGTACCAACCACAAATATCTGAAGTCAGTAATAATAATAGAGGCTAACACTGTTGAGCTTATAGGCCAGGCCCAACTTTTACTCTTGTTGTAGATATTAATTTAGCCCTCATAATGACCTTCAGAAATAACATTATTATTTCTTATTTATAGACAAGCACACTGAAATACAGAAAGGATAGTAAGCTTGGAAGAAAAATTATAGGCAAAAGTAGTTTTTAAAGTACTATTTAGATTAGAAAAGATTGGAAACGGTCTATATTGGAAAATATTTAATGAATTTTATATGTCCAAGTAATAGATTAGCGTGCCATCATTTAAAATCACATTCTTTTTGATTCCTGGTATAAAAAAAAAATCATTCTTAGCTAGGCATAGTGGCATGTACTTTATTCCTAGCTACTCTGGAAGCTAAGGCAGAGGAATCTAAGAATTTGAAACCAACCCACGAAACATACGGAGACCTTGTCTCAAAAAAAAAAATGTCCTTGAGTATATTTAATGGCATAGAAAATGCTTAAACTGTTACATTTTTTTGTTTTTGTTTGGTATTAAAAATTGATCCCAGGGTCTTCACACTGAACTACATCCCTCGTCCTTTTTTATTTTTGAGATAGAGTCTCACTAAGTTGCCCAGGCTGGGCTCAAACTTGTTACCTTCCTGCCCTGCCTCAGCCTCCCAGCATGCTGGGACTACAAAAGGTGCCACCATGCCCAATTTATTAGTACATTTTCAAAATGATACCAAAAAAGTGTGGGTTATCACTATTTGAAAATACATAGAATACTAGAAGTAGATAACTGAATTGAATTCTTTACAAAGTTTATAATTTTTAATTTAATTATGTATTCCATACTAAGAAAAGATCTTGAAGAATGAATTCTGATGAGCTAGTATCTCAGGGAGTATAAAAAATTAAAACATTATGTCTTTAAATACTGGCAAATTTAATAAATAATAATAGAAATGATTTTAGAAACGTATGTCCAGTTCTTACCATTTTGCACAAATCATCTCCTTGGTCCTTGCAACACAATGAGTGGTGTAGGTGACTTTAGTTCCCATTTTTCAAATGATGAAAATATAGCTCAGAGAGCTCATGGCTTTTTCAAGGCTCTGGAGATGGTACATGCCGAAGCCAGGACTAGAACCTGTGAACACGCAATAACAGTGCCACATCTGCAAGCACAGTGTACAGGCCAAGCTAGGGAAGTGTCGAACTGACCACATTCTGACTCATTTGGCATGTCGCCAATAAGCATAAAGCAAGCCAAAAGAGCCTCGTGTCCATTTGTAAGAAGGCCAGTGAGAAGGAATGAGGAGATCTGAGTTCTAGTCTTGACTTTGCGTTAATTAAGTTGGTGGGCAAATCTGACTTCTCTGGCCCGGATTGCTCATCTAGATACAGTGCAAAGGTAACCAGGTTTCTGGGCTCAGTGTCTTCCCTGGTACAAGGACCGAAATTCTCACCTGCCCCAATCTCTGAAGAATGATTCTAAAGGTTTTAAACATCATTGTTGGTTTCTACGGGAAAATTTTTGGGTGGAAGGGTATAGGTTGGTTTCTATCACATATCGTAGTAAACATTCTTTAAAATTTCCTTAAACATCTTCTGATTTTCCTTGGAATTTCCCTTCTCCTCCAACTTCTTGAATTCTCTTATTCTCCCTTTCTCTTCTTTTCCTTTAAAAGAACTTCCTTATCCCTTCTTTCCTCAAAATATTCCTAGTCCAAGTCTGTTTCATTCAACAAAATACTACCTGCCTCCCACTTGCCATAAAACACTGGACTTCACACTCCATCCCTTTCTTAAATGAAGTTTTCTAATCTGGTTTCTGCAGGCTGCAGGGGCTTACCGGGGATTTAAACTACTAGTACCTGTTCTAGTGTTACAAAAATAAAAGGTAAGCACTTCTTGCCCTACTAACTGTTCTACATCCCCAGCTCCCAGCTCTACTTTATAAAAATAATTTTATGATTTTATAAAATGAAAGCCCTAACAGTATTTTCTTCAAAAGTGGTGCTTTGTGATCCTAGCACTCTGGTAGGCTGAAGCAGGAGATGGTAAATTTAGGCCTAGCCATGGCTGCTTAGCAATTTAGTGAAAATATCTCTCAAAAGAAAAAATTGAGAGGGTTGGGGATGTAGTTCAGTATGAAGACCCTGGGTTAAATCTCTAGTACTAGAAAGCAAAGCCCACTGATAATAATTATAACCAGCATACACTGGTTACTCACAGTTTCCAATAGTGCCATATCGATTACCTTATATTTAACCTAGTAGTCCAGTGACCTGTAGGTACTATTTCCACTGTGATGAAGAAACAGAAGGTTAGAGGCACACAGAGGCTGTTCTAGAGTCAAACAGCTGCTAGGTAGCAGAGAGAGGATCTAGAGGCAGGCAGGCCTGACCATGTGCTATGCTTTGTACCCTCTGTGTTTACTGTGCCATCTTCCCACTCTGCTCTGCCTTTACTCAAAATGCACTCTCCCTGGGAAAAATTGATCTAGAATCTGTTTTCTGTTCTTTTTTGCCATGTTTTCCTCAACATTTTTGCCCAGTTAGAATCAATTCTATGGACAAATTGTAATTCCATCAAAAGATATTTATGGAGAACTAGCCACATGCAAAGCTCTGTAATAATGCTGTGGGTTCATTATGAACACTAAGAGTACTGCTGGGTGCAGTGGCACAAACCTGTAATCCCAGCTACTCAGGAGGCTGAGGCAGAAGGAACACAAATTCCAGCAGACCCTAGACAACTTACCAAGGACTGTCTCAGAAATGAAAAGAGGTTGAGCATGTACCTCAGTGCTCCCTGGGTTCAATACCCAGAACCACATACAAAAAAGTAGCTATGTGAAAATACTTAAGAGAAACCCAACTAAAAAAAATTTTGACTCATATAAACAAAGTCTAGGAGTTAATCCAATTTCAAAGCACAGTGAATTCAAGAATCACATAGCACCCTAGTTTCACTTCCTTTTTTGACCCTGCTCTTCCCTTCCCTTCTCCATCCTAGACACAGCCTCAGACTTTACGTGGTAAGCAAGCTAGTCACCAGAAGCCTCAGGTTCACATCCTCCTAACTAGCAGCTCTAAAAGACAAAGAATGTCCCTTTCTCCTCCCCCACCCTCTTTATTAGAAGCATCCCTCAGTATTAGCTCTGCCTCAGTCCTGTGAGCCTCATTAAGGAGCTGTAACCCATAGCCACATCAATACCGAATGGAGGAGTGGAAACGTTGTCCACAGAAACCAAAGGAAGAGGATGCAAGCCCAAAGGTACTGTATACTACAGTCATCTTCAGCCTCTCCACTGTCAAAGGGCTTTTAAATTTAGTTGAGGAAACCAGGATTCTTCAATGAAAAGATAATGTAAAGAAGCACACACCTGCCTGCTCGAATGGTACTCTGAAAGGATCATTGTGGGTTGAAAACAGACATAAAAAAATACTGACCTTCACTACTAACCTTCACTGCTTCCCAGAAGCCTTGGGAGGGAGCGGGCTGTGCTGGCCTGCTGGCTCTGCTGCCGTCCTTGTTTGGCCTCCCCAGTTTCTGGCTGGCTGTACACGGTGTCAGGCCCACTGATGGTGTGAGGACAGCAGGAGGTGCATGCACAGTGAGTGACAGCAAGGTGCCCCTTCATGTGGCGGCAAGTAGATGTCTTTCTCATCAGAGCAAGCTGAATAAATGGGAAGGGCCATTTGGTGCAGTGGGCTTGGGTATCAAGCCAAGAAAGTAAGGAAAGAGACCAGAGAAAGATACAAAAAATGTAATTCTGACTGAAACAATATCTTTTTGCTGAATCCTGAGCACCTGTCCTTGCTGGAGAAAGCTCAACTCGCAAGACTGGTTAAAGGAGTAACTTGTCAGCCTCCCAAGCTGCTCTAAGATTGTGGGCTTGAGAGAGCTACTACACTTGGTCATAAAGTGCTGGTTTGAGCAACCAGGTCTTACAAGGATTGCAGATTTTTGTGAAGGTTCTAATTTGCATCATTGAAAACAATTTCAGTTCAAGGTACCACAGTTTTATGAATTTCTTGTTTTTTCTATTGTCTAACAACATTTTATGTGTGAATAATCACGTAATTAAAGTATTTGGGGTCTGCCACCCAAGTCCTGGCTTACATACTATGTTGAGTGTATAGATTTAAGTATGAGGCAGTGTACGTTACAATTTCCATTTCTGAAAAGGAAGCAAGTCAGCTATACAATGAAAGGATTTCCTTGCTTTTTCCTCCTACTGTTCTGGATGGGGTACAGAGGCCTAAAACCCATGTTTATTTAACCAAACCTGTGAACATATTTTTAATAAATTTATTGTATTGAAAATAGGAATTAGTTTACTCTATACACAAATTATGTATTAAGTGTTTTGGAATACTGAGAATCTGGCTTACCTCTGTTAGCTATAATACAATCAGTAATCATATATTCAACATTTTAAAAACCACTTACCTCCCAGTATCTAAGCCAGGTTTTCATAACTGAGAATTGTTGGCAATTTTTATAATTTGGGAGTTTATGTGTATCAATGCATTTTCCAGAAAGACAAACCATAGAGTTTCTTAAATTCTCTGTAGACTGTTCCCCTCACCCCCCACCACCACCAACAAAATGGCACAAAATACTCAGAGACTTTTAAAGGACATTTATTTATTTTAAAATCTATTTTTATCTGTGGCTTGAAATTCATTGGAAAAGCAAACAGTCTTATCTCTTTTCCTTCTGTGCCTGTCCAATCATCCCATAACTTCAAAAATGTAGACGTGCGCATTGGGGGTGTGTGTGTGTGTGTGTGTGTGTGTGTGTGTGTGTGTGAAAACTGTGAGGACAGCAGTATACAAGAAATAAATGAATTGTGGCAGTTTTTTTAAAAGAAAATGATAGTTTTAAACAAAAATCTGCCTTAAATTTTTTAACTGTCTGAGCCTCTTGGCTATTGTTTGTTATTTAGTGTTTTTCTCTCTGCATTTTCTTGTGGGTGACTGTAAATTACTACATGCTATTTTAACTAGAAAAGCTAACACAGCAGATTTATGTTCTGTTATAAATTAAGTGATGTGATGACATATGCTTAGTGGTTAGACTGACATGCAAAATAAATCAAATGTAATCATTTGAGTATAAGTTTGAGATGTAAAGTAAACCATTCGGGGATCAAAACAAAAGACAGAACCATAGAAGTAGCAGTTTCCAACACACAAATAAGCTAATTCTGCTTATAGTCAGCAAAAGAAGAGTAGTTTCAAATGGACATTTTTTTTCTTCTTTGAGTACCACTGGGAGAAGTTTAATAACTCAGATGTAAAAACAGAATTTAGCCAGGTGTGGTTGTGTGTGCCTATAATCCAGCTGAGGCAGGAGGACCACAGTCAAGACCAGCATGGGTAATTTAGTGAGAGTCTGCATCCAAAACACACAATTAAAAAAGTGCTGGGGAATAGCTCAGAGTTCTCTGGGTTCAATCCATAATACAGAGGGTTAGAACACAGAACTTTTTTTAACAGGTGAAAATATGGAACCAAAGACACTTCACACACAAATTGGCTGGTCACAAAAGGTCTAAAATAGCTGTCATAATTCCCGGGCCTTTTTGCTGATCCTTATACAAAGCATTAAAGAGAAAACAATTGTGCTGAAAATTATTATACAAGGTTATTAAAAAATATGCAGTTAAAACACATTTACAATACCTGGAACTCAGATAACAGCTTCACTATCAGGAGAGCTGAAAAGATACTATCAATGAATAAGAGATAATGTGACTGAAATATAAGGTTGAGGTTAAACTTTTTCATTCTGGCTTTTAGGCCAGAAGCTAATTTTTAAATTGATACCATTAAAATTATTTTCTTCATTTAAAATTATACTACTCTATGGAAGAGATAGAATGAGAGAAATAAAGAACTCTAGCTTTTTAGAACATGCATTTCTAAGTATTTGAATTTTCTCCCTGCTCAGGGGCCCATCTGTTATTTGTATAATTTTAATTTTAAAAATAATCCCATGCCCTGAGATTTCTGTTTGCTATGCCATGGTTCCCACCTACATGCCTAACACTAGGAGTTGGCTGTTTCTCATGCTTAGCCTATCAATGGAATTTAAAATTTAAAAAAAAAAAAAAAAAAAAAAACAACCTCAACTTATTTGTGAAGAAATTCAGTGATATTTTCTTTCATTTTTGCCTTTCCAATGAAGAATGGATACCAGAAAGATGGTTAAAATGAGGCTGTATTAGTTCCTTTTCTTATTGTGAAACAAAATACCTGATGCCCAAAGTTAAAAAGGGAAAAGGTTATTTAGCTTAGAGTTTGTAGAGGTTTCAGTCCATACCAGCTGGCTCTAAGGAGGGCAGCACCTGGGAGAGAAGCAACAAACAATTCATGGCAGCAGAAGACAGCAAAAGCAACAAGGAACAGAAAGAGATAAACCTTTTTGTGTTCCTTATGTTGTATCCAGTCTACCAGGATTAGTGCAGTGCCAATCCAATCTGTGGACTGATCCAGCAATCACCAACCCTAATCCCAGCATTGGACACTCTAGATTCACCTCCAAAAAAGTGCTATGACCACATATGAGGCTTTGAGGGGACATCTAGACACAAACCATAACAGAGACTTAAAATTGGAAGAAACTACAGTACCTTTTAGGTCAGCCTGCAGCTAACTTCACGGGGGAAGCACATGGTAAGAGGCTCAGGGCTCATATCCAGGTCTCCCAGACTCCGTGTATTCTCCCATTATGCACAGTAACTATGTTCCTGCTATAGGGAAGTCCTTGGCATAAGTCACTCAATTTTACTTCCCATTGACTTCTTGTGGCTTACACGGGGCTGTTCCATAGGGCTATCTTCATCTGTTTTGTCTATTTCATCTCCCTCATACAGCCTAACAGACATACGGACTAAATGCAGTTTGAATCAAAATACCAACAATTCCTCACTGAACTAGCAAAAATAATCCTAAAATTCATAATGAAAAGGTAGAGACCTAGAATAGCAAAACCAATTCTGGGCAACAAGAACAAAGCAGGAGGCATCATAATCTTGGTTTCAAATTATATTGCAAAGCTAAGTGATAAAAACAGGATTGTACTGGTGCAAAAAACAAACATATGGATCAATGAAACAGAATAAAGGATACAGAAATAACTCCAAGTGTCCAGCTAGTTGATCTCTGGTAAAGAACCCAAAAACACATCCTAGAGGAAAAATAGCCTTTTTTATAAATGTTGCTGGGAAAACTGCTATACATATACAAAAGATTAAGTCTAGATCCTTAGTCTCACCATGTACTAAACTAAAAGTAGATTGAAAAGATCTAAATCTTAAAACCAAAACATTTAACATTCTAGAAGATAAAATAGGTGAAACTCTTGAAGACATAAGCATAGGCAAGAACTTTCTAAACAAAATTCCATTTGCACAAGAAGTAACATCAATAATCAACAAATGGAATCATAACAAATTAAACATCTTGTGCATAGAAAAGGAAACAACCAGCAGAGGAAAGAAGCAACCTATCAAATGGGAACAAAAGTTTGGCAGCTACTCCTGGGACAGAGAACTAATATGGAGAATATATAAAGAATTTTAAAAATTTAAACTCTCCAAAATAAAAGACCCACCCAAAGAAAGGAGGCAACTAAAATGAATACATGTCTTATAAGAAGTACAAGTGGCCAATAAATAAATGAAAACAAATGTTGAATATCTCTGGGCATTAGAGAAATGCAAATTAAAACAACATTGAAATTATTGCTTACTCCAGGAAGAATGGCTATTAGCAAGAAATCAAACACTATGCTGGCAAAGCTAAGTGAACCTTTCTACATTGTTGATAGAAATGTAAACTAGTATAACCACTGTGGAAATCACTATGGAGAGTCCTCAGAAACTAAAATGAAATTCTACTCAACCCAAGCTATTTCTCTTATGGGTATCTTCCTGAAAAAGTAAAAGATATCACATTGCAGTGATACATGCATACCAGTGTTTATAGCAGCACAAGTCATCATAACTAAATCTTGGAAGCAGCCTACATTTTCATCAACAGATAAAAAGATAAAGAAAATGTGGTATTTACACACAATAGAATATGTCTTTGTTACTTTTCTCATTGCTGAGACAAAACACCTAACACCCTAAGTTAAAGAAGGAAATGTTTATTTTGGCACACAGTTTGTAGAAGTTTTGGTTCGTAATGGGCTGCTCCAAGGCAGGGTGGCATGACAGAGGCATCAAAGAGGAGAAACAGCTGTTACAAAACAGTGGGCAGAAGATGGGAAAGTAGCAAGGAAACAAGCAGGAAACTACGGCAGCAGCCCTCTTTCTGTCTCTTATAGTCTATCCAGGGTACACTCCCTTAGGGCAAGTAGCACTCACACCTAGGGTGGGCCTTCCCATTATCCACACCCAATGGACTGATTTAGTAGTCATCCATTCTTAATGCCAGAACCTCACATAATCCCAGCATCACACATTCTAGATCCAGCTACCTCTGAAAAGCTCTAGCTATGCTCACATGAGGCTTTAGGGGGATATCTAGACACAAGCCATAACAGAATACTACTCTGATATACAGAAGGATAAAATTGAGTCATTTGTAGGAAAACATACACCTTGAGACTATAATGTTAAATGAAATAAATAATCACACACAAAAGCTTAAGTATCCTCTGATTTCTCTAATATGAGAAACCCAAAGTATAAATAAACTACAAAATAAAAGATAATAGGAAACAGAAAGGTAGATCTTTTGCAAATGGGGTGGGGAAAGAAATGGGAAGTAAAAAGAATTAAGATGTGTTATATACATTTACTGGCTCCATACAATTATTGTAGTAATTATACAGTGCAAACATATACTAATAAAAAATTTTAAATGATCTTGAAAAGAATGAACAAATGATGTGATTAATAAGAAAAAACAAAACCTTTTAAAATATTTTCAAATTTCAGCAACATTTTGTTCAACTCTGAGGGACAATCCATATACACTAAAATTCCAGAACTCTGCAACAAGTTGTCTCCCTGATTTATGATGGAATTCAAATCAGAGCCACCCGGCAGCATGACATAGTTAAGGCCTCATCATGAGTGTGACACCTGGACCCTGGTGCCAGACTGCCAGGATTCAAATCCTGTCTTGCTTCTCATCTTAAGCAAGCTACTGAGCTTCTCTGAACCTCAGTTGTTTCATTTGTAAGGCGAGGGTTATAGCTATAACTTCTTTATGGGGTTGTTTTGAAGAAGAGTTAATAGATGTAAAGCACATAGTAACACAGTAAATACTCAATAAAAGGCTTTATTAACTTACATACATTTTTTCATAGCTCTTGTAAAATCCTTGCCACTCTTTTGCAGTGAAGCATTTTCAAACAGTGCTTAGTAGCACCGATCCAGGGTTATTCGTTTCTTTGCAGAGGTTCCTGAGCGGGAACTGTGTGGAAGCTGCGTTAATAATGTCTCCTGCTGCCTGGCTGCAGGCCAACCTTGTCCCTTGTAGCACCGGCCAAAGACTAGTATTGCTGCACTTCAGTGAGTCTCAGAGTGCAGCAACAGGAACTGAAAATGGCAGAAAGTGAAAGCAAAATAAAATTTAGTCAGGAACCACCGAGCTGCATTTTCCCTTGCCACATATGGAAAATAAAAAAAGAAAGAAGGCAAAGAAGAAAGAGAAAGTAAACGGAAAACCTATGAAGCCTTGTATTTCAGAGTGGTTTTGTTTAAATGTTCCAAATATAAAGATTTCTCTTTCTTCATTCAGCAAATATCTACTTAGTGTCTACTGCCATGTCCGTTGATTCCTTGTATACATCTGGTAGCTATCTACCCTGTGTTTTCCAGCATAATCCTAACTTTAAATGTCTTTGGTGTCTTTTCATGGAAATAAATAAAAAAGATAGGGGCCAGGGGCTTTCTCAGGCCATATGGCCAGAGTATTATTTCATACTTACTTTAGGTTGTGTTTATACTTTCTCTGAGATTAGACATCTCACATTAAAATAAAACAAAAATCTTCATATCCTTCAGGGTTGCATGAGCCTGACAAGAAATTACAAGCAGGTACCCTCTATCTTCCTTAGAGGAAGAGTCATGTTATCATCTTTATCTATAGTTATATTTATTTCTTTGGAGCTGACACTACTGGAAAATTTCTTATTTTATACATTTTTGCATTTTTTTCTGTTTTACAATGAGATGCATTACTATGATAAGCAGAAAAGAAAAAAGGTGTTAACCTATTTTCTCACTGCCACAAAAAATGGGCATTCTCTTTTTCAGTAAGAAGAGGAAGCGGGGAGCAAAACTACTTTTCAGGGCAAGGTTCATCTGCTTTTCTCAGCTTAGTATCGCAAAGAGGTGCACTTAGTGAACAAAGATATCTTCAATATTCCTTAAAACACTTTCACTTCTGTGAATCACGATATTGTAGTCCCCTTAAGTATTCCACAAAGTGTGTATATACATTGTGGATTTACACAGACTAAGTATTTTTACTTGATGAAAGGATCCATCAGTTGCCTGTACTCTGCAAACGTCCTTACGAGGCTTAGAGTATGTTGTGGTTTGCCTCATTTTCAGAGTAGATTAAAACAGCTTTGGGAAACCAAAACATAGGATTGGAATCCTGCATTGACCGTGGGCAGGATTTATTGTTTGTTGGTTTGTTGTCTTTTACTCCTGTATCTCCACTGTGCAATGAGAATAATTGAAAGTGTTATTATAGGTATGTATTAAAGCCCATGATACAGTGCCAGGAGCATAGATATAAATGTTGGCTACTATTATCATTATTATTTATTAAAGCTTTTCAGAACACCCAGGGCATGAACTGAAGTGTAATTACAGTGATAATCACAAGTCCCAAAATGCATCATGGAGGCTCAGATCTAATTGGTATGAAAAAGGAAGCTTTTCATGCTTAATCCCAGCCAAGTGATTTAAATGCTTAGGATCACATCATTTCACGCTTGGAGTTCTGAGAACACAGAGGCCTCCTTCACTTCCTTGTTTATTTGACATGAGGGGAAATCCCACCCTCCTCCAGCCTCTCCAGGCTGACCTTTGAGGTTCAGCCAGGAAAAAAAAAAAAAAAATGCAGCAGATTTTGGAGCTAGGATATTGGAATTATAACCTAGCCAGAGGAATTATCAACCCAACAAAAATACCTAAACTTCAGAATAATCTTTTCAGCTTGATAAGTAAACGAAGAGTTGTCCTGCATGCTAAGGGTGGGAAATCCTCTCCCAATCCAATCCCTCCTCTTGTAGGTGTGAGAGAGCCCATTGGACCAGCGGGCCAGTGGGCTAAAGGCCAACACTGACTGCAAAGCAAAGGGGATTTGCTTCAGACTCCTGGTTCCAAGCTTTAAAAGCAAGTGTGGGGAGGGAAAGATGGGGTCCGCAGCAGACAGCTGTTTTCCTGCTCCAGGACCTGGCCTCCAGCAGCCCTTGTGCACTCTCCACACTGTACTGTGGGCTTCTCTGTGGTCTGAGAGTGTGGGAGCTCCAGCCCTTTGCTGAGATTATTTGTAAGTCTGTAGATCAGCAGACTTCCTACCCATGTCATGTCATGGCTGCTCTGACTTCCTTCTAAAATCAAGGAAGGCCCTTAGGAAGTACAAGGGTCACAGGCCACTGGGATACTGGGTACTCCTATCCTGACCCCGCAAATGAATCCTCTTGACCCCTCTTGTCTATGTCCCAGGCCCACTTTCTGTCCCATTGTACTTCAAAGGAAAGGGCCAAGGGTATAGCTAAAGGTCCTGAGTTTGATTCCTGACAAAAAAAAAAAAAAAAAAAAAAAGTAAAATAAAAGCAGTTTCCTTTGATCGAGGTAGATGGCTTTCAAGGGTGGAAACCCATAAAATAGCCTGTCTTACTGGTCTCAAAGTGTCAGGAACTCCCAATCGGGGGTCCAGAGAGGCTAAAGTATAATACTGTCATCCTTTAGGATGGCCATGTGAACACACATATACTATTAATATTTGTATGTATTTTGGTCTTTTGGGGCTGGGGGGTGCTGGGGACTGAACTCATGGCCTTGCTTTTGCCAGGCAGGCACTTGTGCTGCTGAGCTAAACACCCGGCCCTATGTGTGTATTATATATCAAACAGTCTACTGAGATGAAAACTAGTACTTCTCTGAGCCCCTTACAATTCCTGACAGCGTCATTTCTATCATAGATGCTCAACTGGAATTTGTTAAATAAATGAAAGTAAACAGCCCTAGGGTGGTGAGAGGTCTTCATAGAGAAAGTAGGAAGTTGCCTAGGTCATTACAGGGTATTGACAAGAATGCTGGCTATAGAAAATTTTTTTTCAGTGTCGTTGTGAGGGCTAAGAAGTAATCCTCCCCACTTATTTTATGGTGAGGAGCTACTGAGATGCTTACTTTTCAGGTTTCTTTTTCTGCCAAAGGTATAGAAGATAATTTCTCTAGTTGTTTCCTGCCATGTCAGTTTACAGCAGACCCCTTTTCAGTCTCATTGTTCCACCTTGTTTGCAAGCATTGTCACGGTGTCCAGATGGCAAAGCCACCACAATGGACAAGGGACAGGCAAGCTCATCCTCACCAAGAGAACCCTCTGTTAGCTATTGAAGACGAAAAATGGGGTGGGGCAGGCTTCTTTGTGTTCTTCTTCACAGTACCTGATTCTCATATGTGCAAAGAAATAAATTGTTTATTAAAACTCAAGCCAAAATATTCTTTCCTGTGCAGACAGATGATTGCAGTATACTGAATGAGTATAGTCTATTAACTAGTGCTTTTGCAAACCTTTCATTATATCTTTGTAGAGAGTTTGCTGTTTTCAGCCTGCTTTGAAAATAACATCATTTTTCTTTAGCAAGATAGAAACAGTCTCTGAGCAAAGACAGGTGAGTGAGGAAAATACCATTCCTGCATGGATTAGTCATTAGTCACCTTGGTGTAAATTAAGGAAGTACTAACAATGTAGAATGGTTATTTTCTATTTCAACTTGGCTGGGCCATGGTGCCCACATATGAGTCGAACATTATTGTGAAAGTTTCTGTGAGGGTGTTTTTGACTGAGATTATTATGGAAGTCAGTTGACTTTGAGTAAAACAGACTGTCCTCCACGACGAGGGTGAGCCTCCCTGATTCAGTTGGTTGAAAAGCACAAAGGCTCCACTTCCTCAAGCGAGGGGGAATTCCACAAGCAGAAGGCCTTGAGATTTCAACTGAACTACCAGTTCTTCCCAGATCTTCAGCCTGCTGGCCAGCTCTGGAGTTTGGACTTGCCAGTTGCCATAATCACATGAGCAGTTCTTTATAATCTCTATTTTTGTCTCTGTCTCTCTGTCTTTCTCTGTCTCTCTGTCTCTCTCTCTCTCTCCATTTCCTCCCTTCTTTTCTCCCTCTCTTTTTCCTTCTCCACCTCTTTGGCTCCCTGACTAGCACACTGCTGTAACAGACAGTCCTCTACATCTCCATTGCTGAATGCAGTAGAATTCATGTCTCTCTCAAGGAACATCCATGCCAAGGTCCTTGTCAGGGAGCACCTTGTTTTTGTTTTTGTTTTTGTTTTTGTTTTTGTTTTTCAGCTACATGGTTATTCAGAGACCTAGACTGTCTCATCCCTGTGATCCACTGTCCTAAGGGCCTTCTGAGTCCTCTGTGTCCAGTGTGCAGACAGGAAAGTGAAATGAAGATGATACATCTGCATCCTAACCATATTGATCCAGTGTGAGCCCTATCCTTTCTACTCTTTCCATGCCGAGAACTAGGCAGATGACACTGAAGGGATGTTGGGGCTAGAGAATGTGGTCCTTGGCCAGTCAATTTTTTATACTGTAGAAAATGGAGTAAGCCAGGCATAGTGGTTCATGCTTGTAATCCTAGCATTCAGGGGGCTGAGGAAAAGGATAGCCATGAGTTTGAGGCTGATCTTGGCTATGTAGTGAGTTCAAGGTCAGCCAGAACTACATAGTGAGACTCAATCTCAGCAAAGAAAATGATAAAGGAAAGGAGGGTGATTTTCGTAAACCTTCACTTTTTGATGTTTATTTTTAAGAAGCCTATTATATCTCCACTACAAGTCCTTCTGTGTTTACTCTGACCAGAGTCCCCATCCAATTTGCTCCTTCTGAACTGACACAGAACTTTTCTCAGTTTCCTGAGTGCTGAAGTTTGAATATGTCCTCCAGAGTTCATGTGCTGGGAACTTCACCCTCCATGCAGAAGTGTTGGGGTGGAGGACCTAATAAGATGTGATTTGGGACCAAAGCAAGACTCCCCTGTGAATCAGCACCATATGCTACTTGCTGTGAGAACAACTAGATGCCAACCTTTTCCCATGAATAAGCACCATTTGCGGACTGAACAGGGAAGAGAACAAGAAGTCACCAGAAAGTGAGCCCTCCCTGCAAATCTGTGCCATATGCAAGTCACTGGGGTTAGAGTCAGATGCCAGCCCCTTCCAGCACATAGGCTGGGAAACAGGAAGAGCCCATCACCATCAGCCGGTTGATCTGGAGAAACACAGGCTGCAATGATAGCTATTGAGGTAAAACATAATTTAATGCTTGTAGTGTTTAGTATTTCACTGACTGCAGGTCTAAAGGCAGTAGTATGGTCATCTATTCAGAGGATAACAATACTCATTGTAGCATCTATGGGGTAT